AAAAAATGTATACTGAAGTCTGGGAAACATAATTTTGTGCTAATTTGATGAATGTTGCACTAATTTGGGAGTAGATATTGAACAAGCAAGCAATTGAGGCATCAGATACTGTGAGGCCTACACCAGACATTAGGACTGGTGATGTTGTTGAGATCAAATTGGTAAGTAGTATCTGTATGTTGGTTGTTTGGTTTAATTGGTTGAGGTAGATTGCACCGCCAAAAGTTTAATTTGAAGGATGTCTATGAATTTGTAGGAAGTACCAGAGAATAGGAAGAGATTGTCTATTTACAAAGGTATAGTCATTTCAAAACAAAATGCTGGTATCCACACGACAATTCGCATTCGGAGGATTATTGCTGGTGTTGGAGTTGAAATAGTGTTCCCAGTGTAAGTCATACTTTCTGTACTTCAAAGTGTTGGCTTTGCAAGGTTGTCTATGATTTTCTTCATGCATATAGTACCTGTTTCAAAAAAGAATGAGGTAGAGGTATACGATATAGCACTACTAAGATATGATATGCTTGCAGCTCAAAGTGACATTCACAGTGTCTCATAGTCAACCAGCAAAAAGATTCTGAACTGTCTGCTAGTTTTAGGAAATGTGTTTGAAACTTAGCAACACGAGCCTTAAAGTCGAAGATAGCTATTTGAATACCTTGCCCTATTCTATCTATAGTTTTTTACTTGAACATCCTCTTACTGTTAAATACTTTTATGTATTCCTACTTTTATTCCTTAGTATGTCAACTCATTATCAACATAGAAAAGACGTATATGAGATGTGGCAGCACTCATGATTGATGCAATTCCTTGGGTGTGAAAATCAGATGTCAAACTGATCTTAAATCTGTTTTAGTTTAACAGGAAATACCTGAACAAATTTGACCGATTATCTAAACACGCAAATTTATGTGGCCACCCACTTGGTTGGTGTGTAGCCTACTTGCTTGTCCCTTGGCTACGGCATAGGGTGTGGTGAAGAGAAAAATATTAGTGTTCGTTAGGGAATTGTAGAGAGCTTGAGTGATCTGTAGTCAGTTTAGGGGACTTTGGCCTATTTTTCGTTCTCTGTATCCCTTCTGTACCAACAAAATCTTCTCTTGTCCTAGTTGGAGCTCTAGGAAAGTTGAAAAACCCATCAGGAAAATCTGGATCATGGTTCCTGCCTGTATTACAGGAGATGTTTTGATGGGATTTCAACTCATATATGCTCTCTCAGGGCTAGTTGTTTGGTTAGCCTTCTTAGATGGTCTAACCTTTCCCCTGGAAATAACTTAGATCTCTTTTTGGATTTTTTAAGCTCCTTAGATTTATGTTTTTGAGCTAACAGTTTCTTTTCTTTTGGAACTTTTGATTCCCTGGATGCGTTTAACGATAACCCACTCACCTCATAAATAAGAAAAAAAAGTTACTGCATATAAAACCATCTTATTTGACTATTAGCATCCTCAGAAAGCTATTCGATGTCAGAAAACTCTTGAAGACCTGCACGTTTCTTGTCCTCACACAATATCAACTCAAGAACCTGTATGCCCTTTTAATTCTGGCTATTCCTGAACTAAAACAAACACCAATTAACTAAGTGGACTGGCAAATCGGTATTTGGCAAGTCTTCTTTGTCCCACAGCACTTATTCACCATAAATATTCTGTTTCTTGTTCGCTGTCTGCCTTTCTCGTCATTAGCCAGACATGCAAGTTACTGGTGATATGATGAAGTAGAATTGACGAATGGTGTTAGACCTTTTGTTGAAATATTGGAAGAATTCGGTCTTTGTACTTCTGATCATTCTTGTTTCCCATCTGATATAGACATATAGTAGTTCAAAACACTTCCCCTCGACAAGAAAGACCTATTTTTGTTTTCATTTTTTTTCCCTTGGGGTATTTTGATCATGGCTGCCACTGTGCTCCAAGTGAAAAGATTGGAGAAGTAGTGGGAGGATCATTTTGAATTACTGACACAGATCAAGTTGTTTAGGGAACAAAGCCGCAACTTGCTAAAAGTTAGGGGATATGTGATTTAACTTTAAAAAGTGAAAAAGGATCTCTGGAACAGAACACAACTTTGAAAACAACCTCCCTATTCGTCTTATCTCAGTGAGTTGCTCTTACACTGGACATCTTCGTTCTTGTCTCCTTTTAAAACCTGGAAACATAATTTGAATTTCAAGTATCATCTAGAAATGTAATCTTGACTTCCTTTTGAGTTGCTCGTACACTGGACATCTTCGTTCCTGTCTCCTTTTAAAGCTTGGAAATATAATTTGAATGTCAAGTATCGTTTAGAAATGTAATCTCGACTTCCTATAGAGTTGCTCCATAGTTTTATGTCAAATTTGTTCCATCAGAATCACGGATAAAAGGAAGAACTTTCTTCATTTAAATGTGCATGGATAAATCCTTGTATTCTTTCCATATGTTGCTGGTGTGAAGTGACATGTATCTCGTGGAATTAGTTGAGGTGCACGAAAGTTGGATACTAAAATGAAACCTTATGTTATCATTCTCCTTTTGCTTTTGATGACAGGTATTCACCAAATATCAAGGAGCTCAAAGTAGTTAAGCACCGAAAAGTCAGGCGAGCAAGATTGTACTATTTGCGCGACAAGCTCCCAAGGCTCTCCACTTTCAAATGAGAGCCCAGTCCTTATAGTTGGCCTCTTTCAACTGTCCTTTTCCTTGACAATTTTTGTACCTTTTCTTTTTGGCAATTCAGTTTTGGAAGTGTAATTTACATCTGACATTGCTTAATAGGTTGTTATTCATTCTTTTTGTGTAGTCATTTCAGTCTGCTGTTCAATTTGTGCTTAGTTTTGCCTCATAATGCACGTGATGATGTATTCAACTACTCTTTCAGTTAAAGGTCAGTGATGGATCTAGGATTTTAAGGTTGTGAGTGTTTTGAAAGTGGTGGAGTTAAAAGGTTGTTTGTACAGATAGATATATTTCGAGACGAGGTTAATGGGTGTTCGGGCACCCGGCGGACTCTATGTGGGTCCGCCCGCGAATAAGGTATGTTATTCTAAAATGGACGTTGGACCTAACTTATCAGGTGATCTATTGTTAAAAATCATATAACCATGTAACTACCGATGTGAGATTCATATCCCTATATACTCAGACACGATGATTGAAGTATGAACATTATAAGATGGAGGTTTAACATCGAATAAATTAAGAATTAGAGTGAGTCTAACTCTAATATCATGTTAAGAAATTTCCTCGTTAAGACAATAAATGATTTCTCTTCAAACTCTTTCTCCATAAAAAGAATCTTTGACATTGAAAAATTGATTTAATATCATTTTCTATGTACTTTAAATACATGTTTATTTTATTAATCAACCAACATTATTTAATATCGGTATAATTCTATTTCTAACAAATGTTAAAATTTTAATTGAGATTAGAATAAATGGCACGACTTGCCTCATTATATATCCAATAATATACACTGTCGGTTGTTTACATATATGTTCAACTAATTTTAGTTATTTATACATTAATAAAAGTCTACATTAGGTAATACGAACAAAAAAAAACTAGAGTAGATGCTTCCCATATATCTAATGAGTGAATAAATTTTAAAAAAGGAATTTTCTTGTGTCCCACAAAGCAATATTAAAAAACAGTGTGTAATAAAAAATTCCTTTTGAGATACCCAACTTATTAAGGTATTATATAGATTTGATTTTTTTGAGAAAATACGTTGACAATATCTGAACTATTTTAGTTTTTGGAAATCTTTTATTTTTGTCTTTTAATATAATAGAAGTAATTTTTTTTTTTTTACGGCTTATTTAACAAAAAGTTGCGGATCATAATATCTTTATATATGATTTATGACCTAATTTCGCTCAACATAAATATATCAGGAATCAAGTTATCTAACATGTTACATGAATTGTATAATACACTACATAAATTATATAAATTGAATCATATCTTTTATAACATAACTTTTGAATTTTGAAGCTAAATTTTCATCTCGCTCAACACAAATTCTGAAACGGAAATATATAGCTACGTTACGTTACGTTTGATATCCCATTGAAATTTTTTGAGCATCCAATCGTAAAACAATAAATGGTGTAGCTCAGAGCCATTTAATAAACCTCTCGAAAATCTAACAAGAAAAGAAAAAAAAGAAGCATTTGCTGAGTTATTTTGATATAAATAATACTGTAGAAAAAGCTCAAATACTTAAAATTTTGATATAAATAAGTCAAACCTTTTTTTAAAAAATGTATAATTTTTTTCTCAAAGTTCAATAATATATTTAAGCTTTTTTTTTAATTAATGATGTGACCGAATTATAATTAATCATGAATAAAATGATCTTTTGCAAAATCCAAACTATTTTATTTTTTAATGATTGTGGTATCCAGATCAACTTTTGGTCATACAACAGTCTATTTCCCTTTCAAAAGAAATATCGGAACGATCACTCCTTTACAATCAGAGCGGACTCAAGAGTAGGGGTCTCAGAATCTATATTCCTAACCAACCACATCTCACCAGATACTAAAGCTAAGACGGATAAAAAAAATTACCTAATATTTCTTTGCTATCGCTGAATTTTGAACCTAAAACCTCAATATTTTCAACTAATGAATTAAATTTTTATCGACGGACATAAACGAGCCTAGTATCAAAATTCGATGACATATTTGCGTTTTTTTAAAAATAAAAAGAAAAGCAAGTAGTGTGGTAACATTCACTTTAGAATCGGACGTCAGCTTCCTCACAGTTCAGCCATGTGTCGTGCCATCATTTCCACCACCTCCATCATTAGTATTCTCATTTCATACCTCTCTATAACAGACCTTCATAACTAAGATATTCACTTTTTTCCTCTTCATTCTCTCGGAGCTCTCCGTAAAGCTACTCTCAGATCTTTCCGGTGAAAAGGTATTTGTTTCATCTCCTATACAGCATTACTATTTGATGCATTTTTGTGTGATCTAGGGTTTGTGTGTATTTTGGAATTCTAGGTTTTTGATAGCTGATCATTTTGAGGTTCGATCGTCACCATGACTGGTGCTACAAACCAGTTTATATCTGTTAGTCCTGAGGAACTCAAATTCCAATGTAAACTCTCTATCTCTCTGATATTTTGTTTCTGTCTTTGCGGTTGTTATACCTTTTTTTGTTTTAATTGGATTTATTGTGATGATGAAAATTGGAATTTTGATTTGGTTAGTCGCCTTGTGAGATTACACTGGATATAATGTTGTTGTTTGTTAATTGAGTTCTATCTACACAGATGTGTGAGAGATAATAAAAAATAAGAAGAAATAGAGGAGGGTTGTATGCAGGGGGGAAAACGATCTAATTTGTGTTTTATTGATCATTTACAGACCTGAAAGTATGTGAATTTGTCTTAAATTATGAACTTTTTGGTGAAATTGTTTTGACGAAATAATAGATGAGCAGCTCACATCCTGATCAGATCTATTTTTAAGCTTATCTTGTGGTCGAGGGTGGGGAGTCTGGATGCAGGAAAAGGGTTTATGAGACGAGGTGACTGCTTATCAAAAGGAGATAAAAGAATAAAATGACAAGAGAGTGACTTTATGGGTGAAGTTTTAAAAGGATTTCATGTAAGGTTTTGTTGTTAAATGTTTCTTTCGTCAATTTCTTTGTGCAAATTGTGAGTTCAATTGTGAATTTGACCGAGCCAAAAGAGTGATTGTGTATCAATTTATATTGGGGTGAGTAACTCTAAGCGATTAATCAGTATGATTGAGTTAAACTATAAGATATGGTATCTCCTAAGTTTGGATGGACAGAGTTACTTGGTACATTTGCTAGTGGAAGGTCGCATACCAGTGAAATAATTGAGGTGCCCGCAAGTTAGCCCAGACAACATCATCACTAATAAGAGAGGAAAACTTAGGCATGGTTTTCTGTAATTGTATGTGTCAAACATGGAAGCTAAAAGCTTGGCGCTAGTAGAAAATCAACTTGTCAAGTATAAAATTTCAGAGCTGTTGATATAGTTTGAGAACTAAGTATCTCACTAAGTTAGATCAGCTATATGAATACTTCCTATATATATTTTTAGTAAGAAAGATAATTTAATTAATCATAGTACCAAATAGATGCTCCAAAATATGTACAGGATTAAAATCAAAGTCATACATTCTTCAATTTACATCAAAACCTTAATGAACAAGGACGTCTTCAACCAAACAGTTCAGAGAATGAACAAAAGAACTATTCTCCACATTTTGAGTTGCTTCTTTTTTTTTGTACACCTCCCAGCTCTGAAAGGTCTCTTTTAGTATTTAGTCATAATCCACTGCACTCCATAAAGAACGATAAATAAATGCCAGAGTTACCATGTCTTGCTGCGATGTAAAAATAAGTGATTGGAGGACTCTAGCGCACATTCACACATGTAATATCTTAGTAATGTTCCTTTGCAACTAATAAATACTAATGTTCTTATGCAACAGAGCATATCAGTAGTAGCACAACTAAACCAGCAACATGATTGAGACCTTTGTACTTTACATGTTTTTGCAATTTTTTTTGTCTTCTGTGAGTTCTTTGGGTTGCATGAAGGAGTTGTTTCTTTTCTTCCTTGTTTGAGGCTTGTAGATCAGATGCCTTCTATTGGTACTTTTCGTAGCATACACTTATCATAACTAATATCACTTGGCTTTCCTGTATTAGTTGAGCAGGAGAAACAAAGCTACTGTGATCTTAAAGTTACAAACAGCACAGAGAATTATGTTGCTTTCAAGGTATGCTTTATCTGAATTTTTCAAAATCTCACAATTGCTTTATCACATTTTTTAAGACTATTACAACTCATATCTAGATATATCCTGTTTTATTTTCGTTGTTAGGTGAAAACTACTTCTCCTAAGAAGTACTTTGTTCGGCCAAACACGGGTGTCATACATCCTTGGGATTCCTGTTTTATACGAGGTGCCACTCTGAATCTTGAAGTTCTGTTAGGACTCAGAACCACTAAAATCTTTTATATCACAGTTAGCTTCAAATGTAATAGCAGAATATTTTGCAAACATATCCTGCACAAAAGTTTCTAGTGTTAGCCAGAAAATATAGTAAATTAGCATTAAATTTATGCACATGATGTTCAAATATTGGCTTGGATCAATTTACTCATTTTTGCTGATTGGATTTTCAAACTTAGGTAGGATGAATTTATCTTTCAGAGTTGTGACTTGGAATCATTCTAATGGCTTATAGTGTATTGTCTCGTGCGCAGTACAATTTTCTTTTTTGTTGGATTTATTCCATGGCAGATATTAACCCCCTTTTATTGCAAATTGGGGGGAATCTAGCCTTCAACCTACGGGTTCACGAGAACCCAATAGCTTTTGCTCTAACCCTGTATTTGTCTTAAGAAATCCACTAAATATTCAAATACTTGACTGTGAACCCAAGTATTATTGTATATTAACTTGAGGTCGTTGTAGGAAGCCATAAACTTCAAATTCTGGATCGCCATTTGCAATGATGATTACGTCCTTCATATATGGTGAAAGTCTAGGAACAAGGATATTATACTAATCATATACTAAAATAATCCAAGAGAACAGGTATTCTGTGACAAATATTTCTGCAACTTGGCCATTTGTAGTCTGTGACATGGAAATCTTATGTGATGTCTCTTTTTGTTAAGAGGATGCCTATGCAGTTAAATATCCATTTAGTGCACCTCATTGTACTCAATATTTTCTTCTTGTGACATCTCAGTTGTCCATGCAATTCATAATTCCATCCTGACATTGACATTGTTATATGTTTTCACTTATCAATAAAGGAAAATGATACCCTTTTAATGAGTGGTTGCATCCTGTATTGTTCTTAACTTAATTATGTCTCCAGTCACCCTTCAAGCTCAAAAGGAGTATCCCTCGGACATGCAATGCAAGGACAAGTTCCTCTTACAGAGCACCATTGTGAATAGTGATGCTGATGAACTTCCTCCAGATACTGTAGAAATTTGATGGAATTCTGTATCATGATTGAAGTGAGAATGTTTGTTATCTTCTTATTTTCACTCTATGCTATTGACTACTATTTCGTAATCCAGTTTAATAAGGATAGTGGAAGAAATGTAGAAGAGTGCAAGCTAAGGGTTGTTTACATCTCTCCTCACTCATCTCCGGGACATTCTGAAAATGCGTTTAAACAAAGTTCCGATGGCAACTCTGTAAGTTCTGAATTCAGCTCATAGTCTAATTTAAATTTCAAGTCCTTACTTTCTTCTTCCAAAAGTCATGATGCTCGATCTTTTAGGATATAATGATTGGTGACTGAAATGTATATATGCACATGAGATTTTCAAGAAAACTGGACTCAAGTTTCTCTAATAATATCTGGAGATTTTGAACAAGTTTTAGTCTTAAAAACTTGTCAGTCTGTCTTTTTCCCTTTTTCTTTTCCTCTATATAAGAGCCATACGTTGCTAGATTTCATAATGCAAGTAGTCTTTCCATTGATTTTCTATGCATGCTCAATTTAAATGTTTGGCTTTTCTAGATAATGGGTGTGAGACAGGGTTAGGTGCTTTATGTGTTTGCTTTAGTTTGTGTCTTTGTGATGAGAGGGTTTGCGAGATTTTCCTGATGAAACTGGTGAAGACAAAAAGAAAATTGAGAGAGGACGAACAACAATTATTGTCCTGTCTTTTGAGGATAAAATGATAATGGAAGAACAAATATGTACTATCTCACCTCGCTTCTCCTTCCTAGATGGAAAATTGTGTATTTTTTTTGCTTATAACAAATCCTAAGAAGAAACATTACACCATTAAGAAATAGAAGATACAAGATCTTTTATTATTTAAATAGCTGTTTGTGTCAATGATATTTTCCCTTCCTTGAGGAAGAACAGAGATAAAAGAACTTTGTGGAACCTGTAATAAATAGTGTTGTGTAAGGTTTACTTGATAATTAGGTTGTCAAGGATGGTCCTTGTGAAAACGTGATTCTGACCACTTTTTCCTTGGTGGAGACACTCTTTCTTCTTGCTCCTCAGGAACTACTTGAGGAAATTGAGACCTCATATGGAGATGCCCATCTAAGACTAAATTTGAAGAATGTAGCAACTGCTAAGGCTTTTATTTTTTAACAGAATTTCTTTTGGGGAAGTTGTCTAAGGCACTAAGCCCACCAGTCACTTGAAATTCAACATGACCTTTGATCTCCTAGACTATCCCCATAAACCCTGGTCAAATCACGGGCCATATACCATCTTTGAGTAGTTTTCGGAGCCACTTTGCCTTGTATCCCCACACTTGATTCCAGATGAAACTTTTCAAAACAGATGGTTCTACTTCTCAAACTTGAGAAAAGAGAACTGCAACTCTAGATATAGAATTCAGTCAAAATTGTGGATGAAGTATTCCCAGTTTAAGCTTTCGTTACTGACATGGCATAGTGTATAAAGCTCTGTTATCGATATTCGGGACGAAGAAATATTGTGACTTTAGATAGGTATTTTAGCTCTTATTAATTGGAGGCTTATGTTGGCCAATTAAAACTTAGTCAGTCCTGCAAATCATGCATCCACAAAAGATTTTAATGCTATCGCCATCTCCAAGTTTGTACATGAGATGCAGAATTTTATCTTTGTCCCTAGTTTGATATTGTACTATATATGCTTTTTCTTTGATGGTATAGAGTCAAGCAGTGCAGCGTGCCAGAGATGAAAGGGATGCACTTTTTCGACAAACGCAGCAGTTGCAACAGGAACTGGTTAGTGTACTACACATTTTTCTATTTATTTGGTTATGAAAATTACTTTCATGTAAGAATATATGCTGGTCCAAATTAATAGTACCATATATTAGTACATAAAGGTAGCTCAATATATAGAACTATCTGATCCGATTAATCCTAGTTGATACATGAAAAGCAGCAGAAGATGAATTGCAAATGATGTGTTTGACTTGCAATTAGTTTATTATAATCTTGGGTCCTTATACACGGTCATTAGATAAGGCCAAAGACAGGATAATTCTGTGAACCAAAAGGAGATGGAAAGATTTGAAATCACCCTTTCACATGGGAAGAAGGAGTATAGCAACTTGATTAGTCTCATCTTGATTTATTTGAAGCAGATAAAGGAGTATGTAACAAAAGCTTTGGACGTATATTTATCTGGTTGTGTAGAAATTAAACTACAACTTAATGAAAAAAAAAGCACGAGAAAAAGATAGTTGTAGATCAACAGTAATAATCTTACCTTCATAAATTTCTCGTGTATCTGGATCTAAGACTGTTCATTTGTGGATAAATGAAACCTCAAGTTAAATTATTATCGTCTTGCATGCATCTCCTTTCGTATAGTTGGCCACTGCTCTCATATATGTTGCCTCACTGAACTACAGGAAGTGCTGAAGAGACAAAAAAGGCGGAGAAGTGATTTAGGCTTCTCTCTAAAGTTTGCACTTCTGGTGGGACTCATTGGGTTAATGGTTGGGTTTCTGTTTAAACTGTTGATGTCTTCACCTTCTACAGAAATTGTTGATTTTTAAGAAAAACCAAGTCCCCTCGTTCGTGGAATTATAGTTTTTCTTTTAGTTTACTGTAAAATTTCTAGTGTTGGTGAACTGCTGTAGAGCTCGCTGGCTCTGTTCTTTCTGTGTAAATTGATCATTTTTATGTGGAATTATAGTTTTTCTTTTAGTTTACTGTAAAATTTCTAGTGTTGGTGAACTGCTGTAGAGCTCGCTGGCTCTGTTCTTTCTGTGTAAATTGATCATTTTTATGATATGATACCTTGTATTCATTCTCACCATTTTTCAGTTCATATATGTTCTCTTTTTTCTTGAAATCAGCAGCTTTTTGCTTGTCTTATGTGCCACAGTGCCAGAATTATGAAGAAAACTCATATAATTTGTTAAGTACTCATTCTGTCAATCTCAAGAGCTAGAGTAAATTTTAGGTTTAGCAAACATAAAAATCATACTTGTATGTTATAACTATAGTTTGTATAATTGCACTCCAAGTTTGCTATGACTATGAATCTGTATATTTCGGTATACATATACATAAAAATCTGTAATTGTATATTTCAGTATACTTATACATAAAAACTTGTCATATCTTGATCTGTATATTTCGGCAATCTGTATATTGATTTGTATACAAACTAAAACATAGTAATTGTATATAAACAAAATTACTACATATATACATAAAAAGATTATACAAACATGTCTTGTATAAACAGCAAATTGAATCTAAAGTTGAATTTGTATAAATAAACTAAAACATAGTAATTGTATATAAACAAAATTACTACTTATATACATAAAGAGATTATACAGATAGGTCTTGTTATATATAACTATGACACATATACAAACAATAAATTATATACAAACAAATGCTATATATATACAATTAATTTTTATACAACACATATTTGTATAAAGGGAATTCGTATATACAAATATACCTTCCGAGTGGGGTACCACCAGATGGCAAAAAACATGGATATTTTACTGCGAATTACAAATAAAACAAACTATGACTATAACATTTAATTTAAATTAATAGTAAATTACGGTCCCAAAAGGATAACTTGTGAAAATTTCTATAGATATATTTGGGTAAATTTGTCCAATTTAAAGGCCCAGCCCAAAATTCTGTCTATTTGACTTATTTTATTTGATGTTTTTCTTGTTTAATCTTTTTCAATTTCCGATAAAACAAATTGGCGGGATTATCAAACCCTACAGCAAATCATTTTCCCGCTCCTCTATCTTTCTCCCTCTAATTCACTCATCTCTTGCATTTCCTTTTTCACTTTCTCTCATTTCTCTGCAAGCAAAATCCTCATGTTTTTTCTCCATCTTCAGATCTGAAAATCAATGGAACTTCAATTAACCTCATTCTCCGACTCGGACTCCGCCACTGCCATTTCCGATGTACATAAAGCATGGCACATTTTCGCTCTTCTATTATCAACAGGAAGACCAGCTCAGCCATCGGAGCTTTCATCCAAATGCACTTTGTTTTCAGCTTCACCGGAGTTCATTGAATTTCTCTGTTCGATTCCTAATTCTCCTCTCCATTTGACGAATAATTACTTAGTCACGTTTTCTTCCATCGGATTCACATCAACCGTTAAATTCTTCGCGAATGCGGATGCGTTTACGGCTTTTGTACCTCAGTTGGAGTTTCAGGAGCTCCAGGATAGAGGACAGAGGGAGTGTATAACTAGGACTTATTATAGGAAAAGGAAGAGAGCTGGATCGGAGTTTGAGTATTCACAAGTAGTTAATAAAAGAGGACTTTTCAATTATTTTTATGGTAGGACATGGTAATTCCAGTATTTTTTGTTCTTTTAGTCTATGTGTTATGATTATGGTTAACTTGAGTATTTTGTTTGATTATTTCAGGTAAGGGAAGAAGTCAGATGATGATGCCTTTGCCTTCGATGGCACGGAGGATTTTCAGACAGGTAACTTTGGAGCTTTTGATGTTTTAATTTGAAAATTTGTGAGCCTTTGTAGTTAGTTAAGGTGTACTGCATGCTGATATTTTGTCTAACCTTTAGAATTAGCGTTAGCATTCAATTGAGATAAGAAATATGTGAATGAGATTGTTAATATGACGACATAAATGTCAATGTTTTCTAAACATGAATTGGTGAAAACATTAGAAGTGTCTAGACTTGGAATAAAGAGATTTTTGTGATAAGTTTGCGTTGAGCAGATTAGGATTAGATCTGAATTCTGATGCATATAAGATGCAGACTCAATGTTTGGGCCATTGAGGCCCTATAGATAATATAAGACTTAAAAGACTCTATGATTAGGAGAGTTTTCCCTTTTTGGGAGGCCAATTAATAGTCAATTACAGCTCTTCATGAAGTTCCCATTCTTCACAGCATATACAAATCAATATGAGAAAGGATAATTAGAAACTTGTATTAGTGTATGACTTAAATGACATGGAATAGATGCCCTCCTGTCCACTTGAGCTATTGATTAATAATGCAAGCGACTAATATGTATAAATAGAAGTGTTTATTTCCTAATAGTTTAAGCTTTTGGGTGATATGGTTTATACACCTCAGGTAGACAGGTTTTGAGTTTGAGATCAACATGATATTTTTCACATACTTGGACCAAGAGAAGAATTAGGCTTGCACGTCAGAGGGTGTATTACAATCCTTATATAAATAATCAAAATTCTCTAATCTCTAATTGCTTTTACTTTTAAATGGATAATTCACACACTTCATAGGTAAGGGATAATGCAGTGAAAATCCCCCTCTTAATTCATGATTTCAGATCGCTTTTGATTCAAAAGAAGAGGAGACTGTCTCAAAAAAAGAAAAAAAAAAAGAGGAGAAATCATTCATATGAAAAGTTAATTAGGCAACTGCAATTTTTTCTTATAGAACTTGAATTGGGATCAAATAATAATATGGAAGATCACTAAGGGCCTGTTAGATAATATGACACACTAGTCTTCTCAGAATTTTCTGTCTATTATGTCCAAGACTGAGGGAGATCTGGGATTTTGGCCGGTAATCTTGCTTTGCCTCACCATCTGTATGATTCTTCTTCTTAATTGACTTTCATTAGAATGTATTGTTTTGTTCCACTTTATGCTAAAGTTTAAAATATTCATTTTTGTTGTCTCTAACATTGCTGGTACAGGCATATCTCCCCAATGACAATTCGAGGTGTGGCATGAACCAGTTGACAAGAATACCATTGTCATTGGATTGCAATTTCAGAGAATTTTATGAAATGTTCAGAACCTCTTGGGTAATTGTTGGTAGTGCCAGATCATCAAGTTCTGGACTTCAGAGTATTGAATATGAATGCAAAAACACGTTAGAGAGGGGAGAGAACAGTGATGAAGCAAATTTTGTACATATTCCTATTTGTAAATCTAAAGTTCCTAGTCATAGCCTGTTCAGATTCCCTAGATCAACAAGAGTTGAACGTATCACAGATTCCATGCTTCAGACTAATCCACACCCTGCCAGTTCAGCTTCTGAGATGGTTGGTACTACAGAAAAGAAAATAAACTCTTGCATAAATTCCTGTACTATAGTGGACAAAGAAATGGAAATTTTGCTATCTGCAGCTGATGCTTCTGTCTACAACTTTGAAAGGATGACTCAAAAGGAAAATTTTGTGGAAGGCAACAAAGAAGAATCGGCTTCTTATCCTGTTAGTAATATAAACGTTAACTGCACTGAGACTCATACAACAAAGGCGCTCATATCATCTCAAAATGATTTGCCTGCAGAGAATGCTACCAAAGAATGCTCGACTTCACTTCTCCACATAGATACAGCGAAAAATGATAAGCCTCTGCAGAGCCATGCCATCTTAGCGCGCACACAATCTTTTGGTCAGAAGCAGCTGGGAAAGTCATTCCCCAATTCAAAATCCTTTCAGAGGGATGTATTAAATCATGGGGAGCCGAAGAATTCCAAGGCACCAAAGGATCATAATGCCGCCAGTCTGCTTCTCAACAAAGAGCAACTTAGAAGAGATGCAACGTCAATCCCTGTGAAGCTGAAGCACAAACAGAACTATGACTTGGGTATGGGAATTAAAGAGAGGAAGGAAAATCCAAAAGAAAATGGGGAGAATGTCATATGTAACTCTGCAAAAGTAAGCTCCAGCGCATCATTTTATTTGACTTGTATTTGGTAAGCTTACTGCTGTAAAATCATGATGTAAACATCAAGGTGCTTATTTTGTAGAACCTATCGGAGCAAAATCAATTGCCTAACTTTGACTCTTATATTGTGGAGGAAGAAGAGGGTTCAGGTATTTTACCTTTGACTGGCTTTCAATCTGTAGCAATGTTTATTCTGAAGTTTTTATCAATTTATGCCTTTAACAATCCTGATGACTATTTGCAGGTGGTTATGGGACGGTGTACAGGGCAAGGAGAAAGAGTGATGGAGTGAAATTTGCAATTAAATGTATGATATACACCCAAACACTTGCTTATTATATTAAATTTAAATTTCTTTGATTTGCTATATCTGATCGTATAACTATTTTAGGATCCTTTAGCAGTTGAATGCTGTTTTCATTCTTCCATATTGTTGAACTTGACTGGTTAACTTCCATGATATATCTGTGGAAAGGTGTAGGTCGATACTCGTTAACCTTATTGAGCAAGGTCAAAGGGAGAACGTATTGTAGTATAGGTTGGTGGTGCATCAAAGATTGGAGGCATTCTTCTGTCTTCATTATTACTCCCTCCGTCTCAACTTATGTGATTAGATTGACTGACACAGTTTCAGAAATATGGAAAGACATTGCTATGTTCCAAAACTATCCTTGGAACTAATTAATTTTTTAACAGAAATGTACTTTATGAACTTTTTTGCCAAATAAGTGGAACCCAACATGGGTAAAATGTTGATAGGGTCATTAAATGCTTGCCAAATAAGAAAATGTGTTATTCTTTTTGTGATTGACTAAAAAGAGAAGTGTGTCAGTCCCAAAAAGATTGAGAAGTAGAACTATCTGTTTTGTTTGTGGCACTGTGTGTTGTTTTTTGTGTCTCTATATCAGTTTGAGGCATTGTTTAAACACTTGTGCATTGTTCCCGTGCTGAAACATTGTTTCATTATCAAAGAAATGGTAAAATGGAGTATCTATGCTCTTTTCATCATTGAGTTTCTCTGATACACATCCATGTATGGCCCTCAGTTGCCTTAACTGGGGACCAATTTTGATGCTTTTATGGTGATCAATATAATTGAGAAGTTTATTGTGACTTTGCAGGTCCTCACCCAAATGCTAACACACAACATGTCCATAATGAGTTAAAGATGCTCGAGCGCTTTGGGTAATGACGTAGGAGATTGTTTTGAGGAGCCATGGATACAGCATGAATATATGCATATATTATATCTATAGCTATTTATGCACTATGGGAATGCTTCTAAAACCTTTGCTTTATGACAGGGGAAAGAACTGTGTCATTAAGTATGAAGGATCATTCAAGAATGGAAATTCTGACTGCCTTGTTTTAGAGCATGTCGAGCATGATAGACCAGAGGTTGATTTCTCTTTAATCTTTTGATTTATCTAGTTTAAACATATAATAGTTGTTATGTTAACATGTTTATTGTCATGGTTCATACTTAAGGTATTGAAAAGGGATATGAATGTTTCCCAGCTCCGGTGGTATGGCTTTTGCATGTTCAGGGCACTTGCTGGTTTACATAAACAGGTAAGAATATCAGAAAAGATGCAAGTGAACTGAATGGATTTCCTGGTAACACAACTAACTTCTAATTTTCTTACACGCAGGGTATTGTTCACAGAGATGTTAAACCTGGAAACTTCCTTTTTTCAAGAAAGGTTGATAAAGGCTACCTCATTGACTTTAACCTAGCTCTGGTGAGTGGGCTATCCAACTTCGTAGAAATTTCCTTCCTGTTATGTGTTGAATTTGAACAATCTAATTGATTTTCCTTATCTATTTACTACATAGGATCTGCACCAAAAATATGGAACATCAGGTACTTCCTCTTCGTGTTGTTTTCCTTCGCTTGAAAGATGCCTTGTGCTTCCAAGTTCCCATTACATTATGATTTTAAGTTTCTCTTCAACAGAAGAATGAGCTTATTTAAGGGGAAAATGGACAAAAATGCAACATTATCCCAAGATCGCTATTAAAATGTGACCCTGAGACTGTTTTAACTTCCAATAGTGTTGAATACTTCAAGTTCAATCTTCATTACATTCTCTTTTATTGTATATTAGCAATTGAATGTTCACTAAGAACTGCATATGTATAATACACAGACAAGACAAAGTCAAGCCATGCCACAAGCTTTAATAGTGATCCTATTTCCCCTGCCAAGTCTCTTCCTCCAATAAAACAGAGAAGATTCTCAACTGTAAAACTTGAGGAAGGCATCAATGAGGAAGCAACAAAAGGCGCTAAGTCTCCAATACGATCCAAAAACCTTAAAAGGAAGGCTGACCAAGAAAAGGTTGGCACTGATATTGCACATAGGAGTATTAGAAAAAGTCAAGGTGCTGATGGTTCGGGGGTAACCTCAGCAAAGGATGCCACAAGCAATAGGACTCCATCAGCAGAAAGGTTGAGAGAACCCCTTCCATGTACTGGTAGGAAGGAGCTGATTAACCTAGTGCAGGAAGTACGCCAACGTTCAAGCCATGTAGATACGAATGGTCCAACTTCTAAGAGAAAGCGGGTTGCTGCAACTCCAGGAAAAGTAGAAAAGAAGTATTACATAACTCCAATGCCGTTGCATTCATCTGGAATTGCCATTGGTGGTGCTGGTTTACTGAAAAGCAAAGGTCTGTTATTTTGTGTAACTAGTTTTGGTCGGAACTGTGGTCTGAGTTTTATTTTCCACTGTTTCCAGGGGACCGGATGCAAAAGCGAGAAGGACCCTGTGTTGGAACTAAGGGTTTCAGAGCTCCAGAGGTTAGTATAGCAATTAGCTAATTTTGTATTCATTTTCACTCACTGTGATTTAGCCTGTTGCCCATATATTCATTCATGCTGCCTTTTGTTTTAAGTTGAAATATAGCAGTCATCTTAACACCATCATCATCATAAAAGTCAGAATCCTTTAATACATAATAAAAAAAAATCACTGGCCATTATCATCTTATTTTGCTTATTCCACTGATCGAGGACTCGTAATGGGTGCATGAACAGGTGCTATTCAGATCTGTACATCAAGGTACAAAACTTGATATTTGGTCAGCTGGAGTCACTTTACTCTATTTCATTATTGGCCGAACACCATTTGCTGGAGATCCTGACCAGTAAGAAACTTTGTCTGTATTCATTGCCATTGAACAAGATAAATGATTATGGGAATTTGCTAACCATTGTATAATATCTAATTAGGAACATAAAGGAAATAGTGAAATTGAAAGGAAGTGAAGACTTGTGGGAAGTGGCCAAACTACACAACCGAGAGTCTTCATTTCCAGCGGTACTAATAATTCCATTGTTTTCTTGAACTGTTCTTTTTTTCATTCAGCTCCATATGCATAGTTCTGAATAGTACATTACCATGAAACAGGATTTATTTGACACCAAATCTCTATCGCCTGTAAAATTACGAGATTGGTGTTCAAGAAACACCAGAAAATTAGATTTTCTGGAGATCATTCCCCAATCACTTATTGATCTTGTGGACAAATGTTTAACATCAAACCCAAGACTGAGGATTAGTGCAGAGGACGCCCTCCGGCATGAGTTCTTTACTCCATGCTACGAGACTTGGAGAAAGCAGAAGCTGCATCGTCTAAGGTTTAGCCAAGAGTCCCAAGACCTAGGATCTACACTTACTCTACCAGAAAGTTCTCAGTCGTGTAGTATTGTAAACAAAGTACAAGTAGCTAATTGAAGCCTTTTTACCAGTTGTCATGTAAAAATATCTAACCAATGCATGTAATTCTTTCAACAACTCTTGAATTTAGTGTAGTCATATGCTTTACTGATGTTGTATCTATAAGTCGTTAATAGAAACTCAAGGCTATTGTTTGCTTCCTTTTTTAACTGTGACTGGAATCATTTGTTGTCATTCAAAGGAGTGAATGAAAGCGTTTTACAGCTTTAGGTGTTTATGTGATGCGTGAACCATATCAGTTTACTTGCAAGAAAAGGCAAGCAGATTCTTCATACTCCTTGTTCCTTTAGTTCTTTGAAGGTTCAAGGAAGCTTACTTTTACAAGTAGTAGACTATTTTGTTTTTAACACACGCTCTTTGAGTGCGAGACTTTGAAAAGGAGAATAAATGTTGTTGATGACATGGCAGTTTTCAATTGGCTGAAATACGTGTAAACATAGAGGTGACACCCCGGTCAATTCTATCAAAAACCAACTTGTGGTTTTTGAGATAATTTATAACTTAACCCATACGTAATACTTATACAATTGTTGGTTCTTCTAGTTTCTTCTGAACCCAACGACTCAGTATTTCCCTTAGTTGCCCCTGTATTTAAACATTAAATTAAATTACTGCTCCCTTCAAATTTCATTTTTCTTTCGTCAATATTAGCCCATATAATTTTGTTTAGTTTGTGGAATGCTAAACATTGCATCACTTCTATCAATTAACGCATGATTTTTTTTTTATCGTATACGATATTATCCACCCATAATTTATTTAAAATCAGAAGCAATGACAAAAGACAATGTGACTAGCCGATAAATTTTTTATTACCAAACGTAGACAATTAATTAACTTCTAACTAAAATTACTTGTTAATATGCAATTTATTGGATTTATTTTGTAGTATTTACAAAAGTAATTATTACTTTTAATTAAATATATCCGATATGTAAAAAAAGAAAAGAAAAAAAAATCTTTGAGGGTATAAATGTAAAGTTACAAGAACTGAATTTCCTGTAAATTCGAGAAGCGACCAATTATCCGAAAATCAGCACTATATAAACGCATCATCAACGCCTTACAGGCAGAAGACTTTCGCATATCGGTATAGCAAACATTGTGTACGTTCAGATAAATATCCTTTGCTCGTTTCAGTTCCAAAAACTCGAAGAAGAAGAATAGAATAATGGAGGGTTTCACATCGTTCTTCGACTCGCAATCTGCCTCTCGCAACCGCTGGAGTTATGATTCTCTCAAGAACTTTCGCCAGATCTCACCTCTCGTTCAAACTCATCTCAAGCAGGTATTTTTATTTCTTCTGTTCTGTTAATTTTGTTACAGATATGTGATTTCTTACGGTATTATCAACTTTTTAGGTAGATATTGTGGTTTGTTTTTAGGTTATTGATATTTGAGAGTTCTTATGGTTCGATTGTTGTTTTGTTATTTGCACGGTTGAATTTGGAACGCTTTCAGTGATTAGAATCAAATTGTTTTACCCTGCGGCTACGTAACTTATCGGATTATTTGTTGTTTGTTGAAAATTGCCCTAATTTTTAGTTTTGCTTTGAAATTTGTGGAAGCCCTAATTTTTAGTTTTGCTTTGAAATTTGTGGAAGCCCTAATTTTCACCTTCTCCTTATTGACATTGAAAGGAGAGAAAATTAAATTGAAGTTTTGTTGTATAGTTCCTTCTTTTCCACATGGTTTGAAGTTCATTCTATCATGAGTTAGTTAAATAAAATTTGGTATTACGTTGGATGTTTCTTTGGCAACTAATCAGAGATTTTGTACATAAGAAAAGATATTTAAATGAGCTGCACCGTTGGTTGGATGTGTGTGTATGTATCAACAAAAACTCGTGTTTAAATAACCATTATATCCGACGATCGTTCCTGAACCAACGTTTTGATTGATTAGTTTTGTGACTTCATGATAAATTAAGAAAGAATTTTTGCGTTGAATTGTATCAATGTGGAAGAATTTGTTACACATATCTCCCTTTGTATTTTTTTTCAGTACATGTCGTTTTACCATGGCTTGTGTATGTATTTTGATTTTGATTAATTTTATGGTTACAGGTCTACCTGACGCTATGCTGTGCTTTAGTGGCATCAGCTGCTGGGGCTTACCTTCACATTCTATGGAATATCGGTGGCCTCCTCACAACATTGGCTTGCATGGGAAGCATGGTGTGGCTTCTGTCAAGTCCTCCTTATCAAGAGGTACACACCAACTTTACTGCCTTACAAACCTTAGCAGTTGCTTGCCGTGGGCCTCGTTTAGTTGTGCACTTTTGTGGTTATGTCTGTTATTGAATTTGAACTTATATTTTCGTTATTTCGTTGAGCAGCAAAAAAGGGTGGCTCTTCTGATGGCAGCTGCACTTTTTGAAGGCGCTTCTATTGGTCCTCTGATTGAGCTGGGCATTAACTTCGATCCAAGGTGTGTCTCCCTTCCTTATTGTCATTTTTTCTGTTTGAAAATATTGCTCCTGTTCTCTGGTGTGTTAGTTTTGACAGTTGTGTTCTATGTTGTGCTTCCTGTGTAAAATCCACTGTTTTGGGATTTTCAGCTTTTGAGTCGGAAGTGGGACCACATTGTTGTGTGATCTTAGGGTATTAGGTTGGGTCTTTAGATTTTCAGTACTCGATTTGAATTGCAGCGTCTTCTGCATTTGAATGCATCATTTTGTGTATTTGTGTTTTCCTTTCTCTTAAATGCTAAAGCATCACAAGAATATGTCCTAATTTACTTGGGTAGAGTTGAACTCTACCCGCAAAGGGAGTAGAATGAATGCTGTCTTTTTCAGGTTCAATCCAACCTAATTCAGTTGGTGACAGTCTGATCCTTGATTTTAACTGTTGCATTATCAGGGAAGTGTTTAGTGTGACTCTTGTAATTTAGCATTTCTCATTACTGTTTTCTTGTAGTAGCTTGTGGAATTCTTTGTCCTTGTATGAATTGTGCAATTCTCTTATATATTAAAATCGACTATATAACAGCTTCAATGTTATAACATCTTTGAGAGCAGCTTTTCTGATACATCATTTTCTCCCATTGCAGCATTGTGTTTGGTGCTTTTGTAGGTTGTGCTGTGGTTTTTGGTTGCTTCTCAGCTGCTGCCATGTTGGCAAGGCGTAGGGAGTACTTGTACCTCGGGGGCCTTCTTTCATCTGGTGTCTCCCTTCTCTTCTGGTTGCACTTCGCATCCTCCATTTTTGGTGGTTCCATGGCTGTTTTCAAGTTTGAGGTATATGCATTGTTTTCTGCATGCTGCAGTTTAGCATCGTTTAATTTGCAAGTTGCTCTAATATTTTTCTTCCACTAACACCACACCTCCTATTTGGCAGTTGTATTTTGGACTCTTGGTGTTTGTGGGCTACATTGTCTTTGACACCCAAGAAATTATTGAGAAGGCTCACTTGGGTGATATGGACTACGTTAAGCATGCTTTGACCCTCTTCACAGATTTTGTTGCTGTTTTTGTGCGCATTCTGATCATCATGGTAAGGGGAGATATATTTCAATGGTTATGCTTGAAATGTCTGATCTTTTGATGTTTTGGCCATTAAATTGACTCTTGTTTCCCTTGTTTGCAGTTAAAGAACGCATCGGAGAAAGAAGAGAAGAAGAAGAAGAGGAGAAACTAGATTTGGTTCTATGGGCTACTGGGACTATAACCTGTGTGGTTTTCATAAAACACTGTGTTCACCTGAAACAAGCATGTTAATAGTTTGATACTAGCTTTAGCATTGGCTGTGATACAATATCGTGTGACATGCCATTATGGCTGCGATTGACATGTAGTCTTTTTATCTTTTGAAGCTTTTTAACATTTGATAAGAGAAGTTCCTTGTTATAATATTGAAGACGGTACTTAATTTCTTTTTTCATCTCCTTTCTCTATTCGTTCGTTCTGCGTTTTCAGTTATTTACAACCCCGAAGTTAGTTATCGATCCTCCAATTTCCATTACCCATATCTAATTCACCGTCTGTTGAGTGATGCTATTGTTGTAGGACAAGTATATGCATAAATTGTATAACAATTTAAGAAAGTTTTATACTACTGGGGTGTTGATGGTATCAGGGGGAAGTATGACCAAAAAAACTACAATAGGATGGATTACGATTCAGTTTTTTAACTGATAATGAGGGGCAAACATGAAATTAAGTCAATCGGACTCTTTAATTTGTCTGGAGAAGAAGTACAATTTGTAATACGTTTTGCTTAATTTTTAAATATTATTAAATTAATATATAAAAAATAAAATAATTTCAGGATAAATTCATTTGCCTTACGTTATTTTTTTATTAAGAGTCCATGATAGTAGTATTCTACCAGTTTTAAAAGGGAAAAAAAGGAGGATGGAAAACGGATCATATTTGTGGACAGACCCGGTTAAATGATCCATGTCGCAGTAAAACCCAGAGAGAGCGAGCGACTAGTCTTCTTCTTCATCAGCTGGACTGTGAATCCAATTTTTCCAACTCTAGAGGAAAATTACTCCCAGTAGAGCAATTCTTCTCCTTTTGCCTAATTGGAGCTGTGAGGTTTCTTATAGGAAAAAAAATAATTAAGCAAATGAAGAAGCTTATAGAGTTCGGACGAAAGGCGATGTTCTATATTAGGGTTCTCTCAGGATACGAAGAGCGTAAAATCCGATCCTATCGGTTACAGCTTCAACAACGTCTTCAACAGGTTCTTCTTCATTCCTATTTTTACTTAGAAATGTGTAAGTTAAGTTAATTGGAAGAGGGCAAAGATATATTATAAATTAACATGGTTTTGCAGTCAACTTTGGGATTATATGGCTTCTTAATTGTTAGTCTCATGTTACTACTTGATGGTATACTAAAGCTTTAATCTTGCCTACACTAAGCTTTATTTGAACTGGAAAAATCCAATTTTAAATCACCAAAGGCAGCTATTGGACCTTAATTTTATCTGTTACCTGAGATTTGTGGTTATACTGTTTTGGTGTGTCTATTCCAGGGCAAGTTTGTATTGGATAGATGGTACAATCTTCAGTCTTTGGGTTAAAGAATTCATTGAGGCATACTTATACGCTATCACAAGCTTCCTTTTCTCTTGAGCATCCAGGAATCTTTTTATTTTATTCGATTGGTGAGGGTGGGGAGAGGAACATCTTCATGATCGGCAGCTGATTCCCCAGTCTCCGGTTCCAATTATATTTATATCAAAAATTTCAGAAAGTATTTATGAAGTCTATACACATTGTGCACCCAAGGTGTGGTCTAGTGGTCAATGAAGTGATTGAGAACCTTGAGGTCTCAAGGTCAAAACTTGGCGGAGATAAAAATTTCAGAAAGTATTTATGAAGTCTATACACATTGTGCACCCAAGGTGTGGCCTAGTGGTGAATGAAGTGGTTGAGAACCTTGAGGTCTCAAGGTCAAAACTTAGCAGAGATAAAAAAACACTAGGTGATTCTTCTCATCTGTCCTAGCCTAAGTGGATAGAGTTACTTGGTACGTGTTGCTGGTGGGAGGTGACAGGTATTCTGTGGAATTAGTTGAGGTGCGCGTAAGCTGACCCGAACACCACGGTCATCATAAAAAATAATTCTAATACACATTGTAAACAGAGAGTAATGTGTGCACTTGTAATTTGCACGACGTCATTAAAATCCTGGATTAATGTGTGCACTTGTAATTTGCACGACGTCATTAAAATCCTGGATTGGCCCCCTGGTTGAAGGTCAGGGTTTTCTAGTTTGTGTAGGAAATGGGTGGCCCCTGATGATTTTAAGTTTGGTTCCAGTTCCCAGTACACCCATGACCCACCTGGAAAGTATAGAAGATGCGCTATACGTGCAGTGGCTAGAGACTAAATTAATCCTTGATAATTATTGCAAAGAAATTTGACAAATTGCAGTCATTGAAAATATTAGTTGATAGATTGTTTTTTATGCCATGCTTTTAGTTATAAACCCTTTTTCTGATTTCTGTCTCTGTATGAATGTGTGTCTGATCAGGCGGAAGAGAGGAAGGCAGCAGTAAGGAAGATTCCCGAGCAGATGATTTTATCAGAAGTTAGACGCATGGTGGAAGAGATGCAAGCTTTAAATAAGAATTTAGAAGATACTGTAAGCTCACAATCTTCTTGATTCTTATTTCTAATGTTTCGTGATTGTGAAGCATGCTGCCAATTGCCTTAATCGTTCTGATTATAACACTTTAGAAACAGTGAAACTGTCAATGGTGCATTTTTTAGATTAAAATGTTTGAATAGCTTACTCTATTGAGTGTGGTAAAAAGGTGTAACGTAGGAGTAATTGCTCAATACATATAGGTGAATAACATAAGGTGATAAGATTGTCATGTCAAATTTGAAATGGTATAACATAGCGTTGGCTTATATTAGTTTGAACTGACCTGTCAGAAAAGTTGAATTGCCAGTGGGAGAGAAAAAAATGTCAAGTGACAGGCTTCAAAGTGAATTAGGTTAATTCATTAGGATGGATCCCTTGCTTTCTTTTTGCTTCAGTTTGCAGTAGAGAAGAGCCAAGTTCTCTACTGATGTCAATTTACTTCTCTTTAAGACTCGTGTTTATTATAACTTCTTTGCCATCTCTTTTAGTGTTTGGTCGTGGTTAATTCCAAGAATGAATCCCTTGGATAAAATTTTCACTTCCCACCTATCCATAACAAAGAAGTGTGTTTGTTCTCTTTATTCCTGTCTCTGCATATCCTTCTCTTATCTGGTTGTCTATTTACTCCCTAGTGCCATTGTACGTTTACTATACATTCACTCCTCTCAGAAAATCTGGATCCCTCGCCATCCCTTTTCTTTCTGCAGACAGGCAGTTCATGAATTCTCAAGTCAAAGCTGTTATCTTCACCGGCAAAGTTGTTTGGAGCAGATGTTACTTATCTGCCTTGGAGTTTTCCCGTTCAACTGGCAGGGTCAGAATGGGGTTAATAACATGTTTTCTAGGACTACATCACTCCGTACACTGATACTCTGATATTGAATGTATAGTTCCAAAGCTGGGAGAGAGAAGGAAAAGAAGGGAGAGGGGCCATGCTAGTAATAATAAGCCAAGTGGCTCATGAGTGTCGATCAATATTACTCCCGATCCATACTCGTCTATCTGTTAAGTCAGAATCACTTATTGTCTCATGGTGTTAGGAGGAACTTAATTTTGCTGAATGTAAAATAGGGCTGGGTTCGATCTTCTCCAACTCATGACTTTTCTGCTACTTATAGTATGTGCCTCCTGTGTTATTGATGTGATTGATATGATTGAGTAATGGTTGAATATTTTCAGGAGACAGCTATAACTGATTATTTCAAGCCTTTAGACCAGCAGGCAGAGGAAGTAGTGAAAATGCAACTTAAGGGAGATGAGAAGAGAAAAGATGAGATGATGGAGGCCATGCAGAATCAAGCACTTGTTGAGATGGCTCAAGCAGAGAAACAGAAAAACATGCAAATGCTAAACACAAACAAACATGTCCAAGAGAAAACATCTACAGAGACACTCAATCAGAAGTAAGATAATTTTGTAGAGTAGTTAATTGCTTGCGAAATTGGTACTGTAAGAGTTCATATAGTCTTGCTTCTCTGAAGGGCATTATTTTGGAAATGCAAGAAAGAGAAATCAGGTCCTGTCCTAAGCATCGGATGAATTTGTAACAATAAGGAGTGACAAGCCTCCATAGGGAGGAGATTGGATTTAGAGTTTACGAGTTCTGAATTCTAGGAAATACAACTTATTCTTGATAAACTATTTATACATATTTGAGTGGATTTTTAACCACAAATACAAGGAAGTTTTATGTTCCCTGCATTGAAGTCATCAAGGTGTTTTTATTCCTCACCAAGAATATTGTTCAAATTAATTCAAACTTGTTGATTAGAGTTCAAATTAATAAATTCAAAGTTGTCAACAGATAATATTTTGAAGTTGGACTGACCAAGGGGCTGCCCAAACCAAGAAGTTCCTATTCTTTGATTTGTTCCTTTGATGTTTTGACAAAGTCTAGAAGTAGAAATAATTAAGATTTTGTTTGTGTGTGTGGGGGGTGGGGGTTGGGGGTTGGGGGGTGGGGGGGTGGATAAAAGATTATTTACTCTAAACAAAGACTCATGATCCCAAATATTTAAATCTTCTTCATTTGCCACATAACTATGACCCACATAGAACTCCAAGAATAGTACCCCCTCTTCCCCCAAAAAAAAAAAAAAAAAAAAAAAGAATAAAAGGTGCATAGACTATATCAAAAATATTAAATTAACAGTAACAATAACAATATATTCAATTTAATTGCATCCAGAATATGACCTAGTGATCAATGAAATAGTTGAGAATCTCAAATTCAAAACTCAGCATAAATTAAATGCTAGGTAAATATTTTTTTTATGTAATTCTACGAGTCCCGGAAATCAATAATATTAAATTACTAGCTGCCAAATCAACCCAAAAGACAGTTCAATTGAATTTGTCCACTTTTATAATATTACTTATCAAACAAGGGATTTATTGGTTGTCTTCGTGTCTATTATCTACCATCACTAAGATACACCCAAATAAAAGATTTTTTTTTAAAAAAAAAAAAAAAACTCAGAGAACAAAGGGGGGAAAAAATGAAGTTATCTCTGATTGGTTTTTCCTTATATATCTTATCCATGTATCTTTTTAAAATAAATTTCTAACCTTTAGTCATTTTTTATTTTTAAAAAAAGCAAAATGTTGTAAGTCAAACAATGCTGGATTAATCCACAAGAAAAGATAACATTTTATTATCGGTGCATCCCTATTCCCTAATACTTATTTGTTTTTTCTTCTCTGAATCATTTCAACTCATTTTAGTCTTAGGCTCTTAGCTTTGTCTGTGTGAGCTTGCTTATTGTATTATCGATTAGATAAAGGAGGTAGTTTTTGTCTCCTCACTATTCACCCAACGTCCTAACTCCAAACCTTTCTTATATTTAGATAATATTTTTTTACTTACTTATCAAACATTAAAAAATAAGTAAAAAAACTCCTTTATTTTTGTAAAAAGATTATTTTCCTTCATATTTACTAAACACACCCCTTAAGCATATACTTTTGGTCACATGAAAGATATATATATATATGTTGAATGTCTCATCAATATGCAATCTTTATCAGCACTCATCACATGTATATATCCTTTTGGATGTCTTTTCTTTACAAGTCTCTAATCTTATTTTGATCCTTTTCATTAACCCACTAATTAATTAAAGCACTCTCTTTTACCTAATGTTGAAATATTCTCATTTTCTTTTGCCTCAAAGAAAAAATGATTTATATATTGTTCATTATATTCTGTTGAATGCAAATGGTCCAATTGCACTCATTTACTTTTGAATAAAAGAAAAATAATCTGGTAAACACATGAGAGCGATAGCTTCATGATTAAAAGCATGTAAAATATACTAATTGTTGCAAGTTTGATTCTTGTGCTTTATATTGTTTGTGCTTTACTATATTCCTAAACAAAATTGGTGTAAAAATGAATGATTATCATGCCTGCTGTTATGAGCAGAAATAAGATGATTATTGTTTTTTATAAATAAATTTTAAAAACCCAATGAAAAATGACATTTGATCAATACCCTCTCTCATATTAGTTGTCACATTTTTCTTTTACACATTTCTTAAAAATCATAATTAATTTTTTTTTTACTATTTAACATTAATCTCTTTCCGATAAATTGTACTTTAAATCATAGTCTATTATCATTATAACTTAACCCTCTCTTAGCTATTTTTTTTTTATAAAAAAATAGATATTCTTATAGTCAAGGAAAAGATTAATAATAATTGAAAAAAGACAGAGAAACAAACTACTATAGCATATCCATCATATGTTTGATGATAATGAAACATTAGCATATAGAAAAAATCGAGAAAATAAATAATTGACTAACCCATAGGCCATAGTACTACCCCATGACCTCATATCATTAGACTAATTAAGTATAAAAGTTAATTAAGCATTCCAAAGTTGAAAAACAAACAAAATTGAGATGTCCTTATGCCTTGATCCATTAATAATTCAAGTTATCTTTTTTTGGAAATTCACAAGATTTTTATGTTAATTCAGAAGTGGTTAATGAGTTAGAATTAAAAATTATGATATTTCAGGTTTAAGTTTTAGGGAAGATAAAAGAATATTAGGTGATTTCTTCTTATACGTTCAAATTTTGATAAATAAAGTTATCAGATAGTTATATTGATGAGAAGTAATATATACATATTGTAATTAGTTGAGATGAGCGTAAACTAGCTAAACACCACGATTATATTGCTTATGAATGAGTTTTGGATTTTTATTTTTTTAAATTTACCATTTCCAAAAATTAAAAAATAGACAAACAACCTTTCATGACAACTAAAGGCAGGTAATTGATATTGATTCTTTTCTGGGGTTTCTTGGTCTTTTTAATTTATATATCCAAATTTTATTATTATTATTATTATTATTATTATTATTATTATTATTATTATTATTATTATTATTCATTTCTTAAAGGAAAAATTGAATCGGGTTATCGGTTACACAACCTATAAGGTTTATATTGGGCCATGCTAGAAAAAGTTCAATTCTAGGACCCAAATAATACAAATTCAATACCATCGATAATTGTTTAGTAGATGATTCTCTTTTTATTTCTCTGATAATTTATTAAATTTTAAATTAAGGTTTAAAGATCCGTTTAAACAAATAAAAAATCTTACAAGAAAAATTTCTTATAGTAATAATGTTTGTCTGGAAATTTCTTATAGATGAGTAAGCAAAAAAATAACTTAATGATATAGACCTATAGTGTACCCAAAAAATAATATAAAAAGACAAATATTGGTGATCTTTTCTCGTAAAGTTATGACCATAACTAATAGACTTTATTTAAATACATTATTTTTTATTTTAGATATTTATATTTGAAATAATATATGCATAACATCAATGATGATCATCATAAATATTTAAATATTTTATTTTATACATAATATGCTCAGAAAAATATAACATGAAATATTGATTCTAAATAAAATAAGGTCATTATAGTGAAATATTGTTATAACAAGTTTTGACCGTATAAATTAGCCACTATTTATGCTAAAAAAGAGAGTAGATTTTATAAAATATTTGTTTAAAAAATATTCTAACACTCCAAAATTATTTTAAGAGAAGTAGAAAATATACTTCGGTTCTAGCATTTTTCTATATAGATTTCTCAATACTCATTGTTCTTTTATTTTTAATTTTATTTTTATTAATTTCGTAATGAACGAAAAAACAAAATCAAAGAGATTACTTTATGTAGAATGTAAATCCCCAAATTCATGTGCCTACTAATAATAATGAAACATATTTTATCAATTTAAGGGAATTTCAAGCCTTTCTCTCTCTTAATTTTTTGATTAATTAAATAAAACACCGATCAGTATTCAATTATTTAGTTTATCTGTTGATTTGTTGGACACAATGCCCATGATCCATTTATTCACCATCATAGACCACGTTAATTCATTAGGCTAAACTACTCGTTCTGTCCGTCTATTTTTATCTATTCAGTATTAATTTGATATATTTAAATAATAAATAGAATAATAGTAATTTTATTATACCATCTTTCGAATATAATAAATTTGATAACTTGAGAAATGCATTGAAAATGACTATAGTTATTACTCCCTCCGTCCACAATTGTTTGTCAGGGTAAGGTCATGCACATCCCTCAAGGAAAATTTAATACAAGGTGTAATTTGACTAATATAACCCTACTATATCAAGAATACCAAAAGTCCACATAACTTTTCAATTGAACTACACAATCATTAAGGGCAGAATTGGAAAAAAGTGACTAATTATTTCTTGATTGTTTAAATTGACAATTAATCTTGGGCATCTATTTTTAGTATACCTGCCAAACAATTGTGGACGGAGGGAGTACTCTTTTTGTCCCTAATTTCTTGTCCACTTTTCCTTTTATAGTTGTTCCTAATTACTTGTCCATTTTGACAAATCAAGAAAGGACAATTTTTTTTACTTATTATACCCTCAATTAAATGATTAATTACTTTTAAAAATATAGAACTTTTCATCCACTTCATAATTAATAGGGATAAATGGTAAACTCGTCATGTCATTAATTATTTTCTTAATAGGTGTGTCAATTCAAATGTGGACAAGTAATTAGGGACTAAGGGAGTATTTAATAAGGATAAATTATCACTTATTTTTTTAATCTGAATAAGTAAAAGTAGATGGTCATTTTTAATAGAGTGGACAAGTAAATATAAACGAAAAAAATACTTTGATTTAATCTAATGACCTAATTTCATGACTGGCTAGTTTGGATTTTATCATGAAAACAATGGTCAGAAGTTATTAAATGTTGTGTTTCCTTTATCTTTACGCAAAAATGTTTATTCAGTACAAAAATTAGGTATTTGACGAAGTCAATATAATAAAGTGATGAGTTTAATTACTTAATCTAGTTGGGATGATCATTAAGGCAAAGTATAAGTGGTCCTTATCTTTGTCACAAACAAAAAATCATTTTTACTTAAAAGGATACAATAATTGATTGATATTGGAGAGAATTTTTCATCTTAGTAGGAGCTTTTCAAAGAAATAGTTTAACTACATTAGTAGCGTTTGAGATGATTTTAGGCACGGCTATTCCTTTTGACTATATAATCATGCGGTTTTTGCGAATTTAAAATCAGATTTCCTTCATAGATTCTCTGATCCAAATGAATTGGTAGTCCCTTCTGTTATGA